GATCGCGCTCGCGACGCTGCGTCGGCCCCGCCCCGGGGCGGAGCCCAGGTGTGCCCCGCCCCCGGGCCTGGCCCCCGACCCTGTCCCCTCGCCTCTGCCGGCCCCTCGCCGCCGCAGGGTGGGGCGGGCCCAGACTGCGGTGGTGGCGGGGGAGGCTGCGGAGGAGTGTGTGAGCGCGCGCGCGCCTGTGTGCGCGCGCGCGCTGGGGAGGATGAGGGACCCTCTGCTTGCGGGTGTGTGTGCCTGCCCAACTGTGTTTCCTTAGATGTGAGTGTGAGCTTGTCATTCCCGGCCTGGAGGCAGCGCGCGCGTGTGTGCACCTGTTTCTCATTGTGTCTTGTGAGCGTCCAAGAAGGTGTGTCTGTATTCGCATCAGTGTGTGCATCTCTGGACGTGTTTGGGTGGTGAAAGGAGGGTGTGGATTGTGTTTGAGGGTGTCTGCGTGTCCGTATCTGTGCGAATGTGACAACGCGCGCGTCCTTGTTTTTCATGTGTGTTGTGTGTACAAGGATCTGTGTTGTGTAGGTGTTGGTGTCCTGAGGATTCAGGAGTGTGTGTGTATTTGTGTTTTGTCAGTGCATTTGTGAGTTTTCCTATTTGTGAGCATCTAGATGTACTTCTCTTTTGTGTCAGGGTGTGATGAATGTCAATGAAGGAGTATGTGCGACAAATTGAGAGTCTGTGTAATTATGCAGGAGTGTGACTGCTTGTATCTGTGAGTGTGGTTGAATGGCTGTTACTGGGTATATTTGCAAATGTCTGTGTGTGCATTTGTGGTATCAACAGAATTTGTTGGGGGCCGGGCTCCAATTGTGTGTAAATGAGGATGATGTGTTTGTATCTAAGTGCATTTGTATATGAGTCTATGAGTATGATTGTGTGCACACGGGTGTGTGTATGGGGGCAGCGATTGTGGAATGTGTTTTGCTCATATATGTGTATTTACATGTGAGTGTATTTGTGGGTGACTGTGTTTGGGTATATGGTGTGAGATAAGGCGGTGTGACAGGGTGTGTAAACAGTGGAAGTGGGTATAATTGCAGAAGAATGTCCATTTCTGGACGCATTTATGAGAGTGCAAGTGTGCCTATTTATCTAGGAACTGCATACTTGTGTGAGCAAATCTATGTGTGGTACGAGCTTGACTGTGTACAGCAGTATGAAGGGGTGTGTGTGTGAGAGAGAATATATTTGTGTGTGTGTGAACGCAGATATTTGTATACACGGTGCAACTGTGTGGATGTTACCTGGTATACTTGTAAATGTCTGAGCCTCTATTTGTGGATATTCAATATTTGCTTGTGTGTTCCATGTGTTTTTTGGTCAAGATATCTACTGTGTGCCTCTTAACTGTGTGTAATTGTGAATGCACAAGTGTTTGTGAGTGTGAGGTCTTTGTGTATGTCCCGATGTGTATACCTGAGTGTAGTTTCATGTGTATAATAAGTGTACGTATGTGTTTGGGTTTATATGTTATCTGTTTATTTGTTGACATGTATCGCTGAGTGCATTTTGTGTATTTGTGTGTGTGAAGCTGGTGTTTACATCTGTGTGGATTTGTGGATATTTGCACGGATCTGTGAGTGTGAGTTTGATGAGGTGCACATGTATGAGTGTGTGTATCTGGTTTCTGAATGTAAACTGAGTATCTGAATGTATCTCTTTATGTATAAGTGCATTTATGGGTGCCTGGTTATGAACATATGGCTGTAGTGTGTGAGTAGGTGTACATGTGTAAGGAGTTGTGTTTTGAATGGCTTTGTGGGTGTGTAAGGGTATTTGTGTGCATCTAGATGCACTTGTTTGTCATATATAAGTGAGACCAGGTGGGTGAATTTTTACAATTACGGCGGGGGTTTCAATCTATACACGCACACGCACAGAACAGTGTTTTCTTGACTGTATAAAATTCTATGAAATGAGGGTTTGCCTGGTGGCACAGTGGTTAAGAATCCGCCTGCCAACGCAGGGGACACGGGTTCGAGCCCTGGTCCGGGAAGATCCCACATGCCATGAAGCAACCAAGCCTGCGAGCCACAAATACTGAAGCCCGCGTGCCACAACTACTGAATCCCACGCGCCTAGAGCCCGTGCTCTGCAACAAGAGAAGCCACCGCAATGAGAAGCCTGCGCACCGCAATGAAGAGGAGCCCCTTCTCACCACAAGTAGAGAAAGCCCACGCGCAGCAACAAAGACCCAACGCAGCCATAAATAAATAAATAATTTAAAAATGAAAGTAAATGAAAAAAAAATTTTATGAGATGAGAAATCACTACAGCAAGTCAGGCTCCTGAGAACCAACCCCCCCCCCCCCCCC